CGACGCGACGCGACTCGACGCAACGGATTCTGCCACGACAAACCGATATTACCGATGCCAAAGGGAGAGAGAGGCTCTCTCGTTTGATTTACGAGCTTCTCCCTTCCTCCCCTCTGGCGCACATCGTTGAACGTCTCAACAGGAGACGGTTGTTGGCTCTCTTAAATCGTATTCACCTTTCGAAAACGTCTCGCGACGTCCCGGAGAGGACACCTGCACGCACGATCGGCCGTGCCGCGTACGCAGTTCCATTGAAAAACGTCGGAGGCGACGTCCAAACGGGAAACGAGGAGAATCGACGAGTGAAATATTAACCCTCGTGTCTGGTTGCACTCGCGGAATTTTGATACGGTCGCTCGTTTTGAGCATTATCGTTTCGTCGACGATGGCTCGATGTCTTGAATGTAAATGATAGGTAATTGGGAAATACCACGCGTACACGGGCGTACACGGATGCAAGGGTATTTTCCCGTCTGGTCGTGAGCGAGAACAGCGAGAACACCGCGGGGTTAATTAGAAAGTCTATTTGGTACTATTGACTGTCGCTTATGTGTGCGCACGTGTTTCTCACTAACTGTCTGTCCCGCTTTCGATAATGCACCTATACGTCTTTCTGTCTAACGCTCGCTTCGGAATAGCCGCCACTCTGGAGGAGTTCACCAACACTCTAGGTAAGTGTACACCTGTCAATTCGCTTAAGGAACCAATCACCAAATTAAAGAAAAAAAAAAAAAAAAAAACTAAAAGAAAAACTTAGTAATCGTTTAACGTTAAACGTAATAATCTACGTGAAAACGCATCGACGTAATGTTCCATTTTTCGTTTAAAAAAAAACAAAAAATGAAGAACGAAAACCAGAGAAGACTAGAAAGTAAGAAAGAACCATTTGTAAGTATCGTTATATACATATAACGCGTACCGGGACACGGCGTCCGCTTTTTTTCCACGCGGGATCGGGTACGAGTCAATTAAAACGGAAAGGAAGCGAAACTCTCGCGATCGAATTGACGAGTATGGCTCTCGAACGAGACTGGCGGGGATCACGGAGCAAGTTGCCGGGTCCCCTCGTCGTCCCCCGTTTTCCATCGTGTAGCTTTTTACCCATCGCTTTAACGTCGATCCTGAGATCTCCTTAACGACCCTTCACGACAGAAAGACGATCCGTTTCGAACCGTTCGTCTCTTTTTTCTTTTCCCGGGGACGTGCACAGTGGTGGACGGAGGATGGTCCAGATGGTCGACGTGGTCGGTGTGCGGCACCGATTGCACGCACACGAGAAGACGATCCTGCGACGAGCCACCACCCAGCCACGGTGGACGACCTTGTCAGGGGAGGGACATCAGCGTGGCGAATTGCACCGGCGGCATGTGCAACAGTAAGTCACGAGATCCTTTCCCACTTGTCACGACTCTCTTCGATCTGCCACCCCATTCCGCTCGTCCACGCGAAAGAGATCCTCCTTGCTCGCGAGAAAGAGAGTATACTACGTAGAAAACCACGTAGAAGCTTGCCACACACCTTGCTTCTCACGACGGATCGCCCGGGTGGTGGATGGTTACAAGAAGGTGGAAGTTCTTTCTCGTAGATTGGGATGAAAGGGATGAAAACGTTCGACGATTCGACAAAGTTTAACCGGACTGCAGTTTGTCGGTAATGTGAAACTTTCTCTTTTCGTGGTGTTTGAAAAATTAAATCCGAGCTTTGGATTTTTCCACCGGTGTGAGTTGAAGGTGATATTGGTAAACTGTGGATTTTTGTTTTTAATTACGTTCTACGTAAAAATTGTATAAAAGAATGTAGAAAAATCCGCAGTTTAGCGATCGGTGTGTGCAATCAGAGTTAATTAACGATCGAGCAGAGTGAATATTCCAGTAGTTTTACGTTCAAACGATCTTTCTGAATAATTGCAGACTTTTACTATTGCTTCGTGTCTCGCGCGCAATAAAGAACACAATCATAAATTAATATTAATTCGCCATACAACGCAAACTTTGATACTTGATACTTGGCGTTTGACGAGTCTCTCGTTTCTCTCGTTTCAGATGGCAACACGAAAATGGGAGGCGCGCACTTGACCGAAGAGGGTAAGTCCCAGATTGAAAAATTCATTCTTTTGCCAGAGAGAAGAAAAATAAAAATACGAGAAAATTTCATAATTCCAAGTTCATACGTTACGTCGCGATCTTGCGTGACGATCGGACAACAGCGATTCGCAATGCGCTTCGAGACCCACTCCCG